CCAAAACAAAGCCTCAGTGTCAGCTTTGCACGCTTGACTTTCATAATTACGAGATACTGCTGGTTCGTGGCAGTTGTGAACATACATTCCGTCACATGGTTTCCTCTCAAACAAAGGTACCAACAGCTTCTTGCAACAAAGGAGACCGCAATTGAAACCCCCATGCACCTCCTCCTCCCTCCTGACCAGCCCTGCAACAGGACACTCCCATTCGAGTCCGGGTGACGAGACCGGCTGTTGGCGATGAAGACCTTGTGGCCCTGCGAATCCTCTGTGAGGGAGAAGCGCATGTCCGTGCCATTCTCGGTCCGCCAAGGACGGCGAGAAGGACGACGACGACGTGCTGCGGTCATGCTGCGGTCGAAGGGGTGGAAGAAAACACGGTCGAAAGCGTCAGTTGAGAAGAAAGCTGTGTTTTGGTGGACAAAGTGGCCTGCCGCAAGGCAGAACAATATGTCTGTTGTAAACGAAATGATTGATGTCCGAAGAAGTCCAATCACTTGTCGACCAACGAAACGGATCGAGCTCGCTCCTGAAACGGGTCTTTCAGCTTCTCAAAACGGGTCGGGCATGGTAACCGTTTTGTATGTAAACATCCACATTTTGGCCCTGTTTGCAACGCTTTCTTCAGACATTCGGCCACCTTCCACCTGTCCACCCTATCCCCCACTTTCCCTCGCAGAGGTGATGTCACCGATCCAAGTGGCCTCGTGGAACATGAACTTCTGAATGGCTCTCTGCACGTCTTCTTTGCTGATGTTCTGCCCTGGCAGGCCAGGAGCCCCGTTCGTAGCGTTCTTGCTCCTAGTATCTCCTAGTAGCGTTCTCGCACACAAAGTGAGTGCTAGCGTTTGCTGGAAGAGGGGCGTTAGAGATTTCTTTTGTTGAGTGTTTGGAGTATAACATTAAGAGGGTTGGTTTGTCTTCTCTTTCTTGCGATGAAACAAGAGAGCTAAGCTCACAAGCAATCGTACATGCCGGCCAGTGACGAACCACACGGTGTCTGGCTCTGCCCAGCCGCCTGCACCCCAGTGACGCATGATGTCATCCAGGCGGAAGGTCGTGCCCTTGCCATTCTCCTGCAGACGGGAACGTGCCGCTGCTTCGTTGCTCACGGGATGAAGGAGGAATCCACAAACCGGCCTAGCAACCTGGAAAGGCATTGGTCTTCCACTCTAAAGGAGCGTGACGCAGACCGTCTTCCGACGGAACCCGCGCAGCGCCGATGCGATCGACAAGCAGATCGATCTTCGGCTGGGAGTCGACAGAAACCCCCGTTCCTCCAATCGACTGTTCGCCTCAGTTTTGGTTTCTCCCAAGCATTCTGCCACTTTTGAGCCTCTCTTTCGTGGCCTGTGGCTTGGCCTCTTCCTTTCTTTGATTTTTCATATTCTTTCTTGTGTTTGCTCTCTTCTGCGTTTTCTTTCGCTTTTCAGCTGCTCTTTGCGCGGTGGTGTCTTTGGTGGCACTGAGGCAATTGCAATCCGTGCCTATATTCGGTTCTTCTTATGTACATCTGTCAAGCTGGCAACAATCCAATGCCAACTCCGTCAGTTGTTTCTGACATGACTTGAATTTGTGCATTTTTCACTAGCACAAAGCCATAGCATTAGGAGAAACAACATGGAATTACACATGTCAGTTGTGACGTCTTCATGAAAACCTCAAAAGAAACACACCTGTCAACACGTCATTTCACTGTCATGACTCCCAAACTCGCAGCAACATAGCAACAGTTCTTGGGCCGCCTGGATGCTTATTGCCAACCACTGCAGTTGCAAACACAGGCGAAAACTACTATTCTTCATATGTTTGCTCTTTTCGTTCTCGTCCGGTCCTCCCTTTCTCTTGTACACGGTATGATTCTTCTTACCTTGCTTCTACCGGTTGTTTACTCCACTCATTCTGGGCAAACGAGGCTGAACAATGTGAAATCGCCAAAATGAAGAGTTGGAAAGTTACACCTTCAATCAAAGGAGTACACTACACAGCATTGGTCCACAAGTCTTTGTCCCTCAACCCAAGCAAACAATCAAACACGTGGGATTGACAAAGGTTGCCCTTTGGCCAAAAGCAACAAAGCAAGAGTAGACACCAATTCGACGAACAACCTCTGTTTTCAAAGTGCCCAACCACAAAGAGACCAGTAGACCACCGGTGATTTGTCCCTTCTTCGCGCGTCCTCCAGCGGCCGTAGCCCCTCTGGGCGAGCGTTGCGGTTGCCTTGGGCATGGTTCAGACAGAAGGACACATGGTGCAAACAACTTCCAGGGCCAGGAGCGATCGGACGCTACGACCGTAGCTCCTGGCATCGCTACGAACGGAGCGGTCGGATGCAAGTCACACAGGAGCGACGTCTGGTGACCCAGTCTGGTGGATCGTCGGGACCGTTGGTGATTTGCCTCGGTGCGGTGCCTCACTTTCGTTGGTCCACAAGGTTCATCTTGCACCTGATCTTCAGTTCTCATCCGTGCTTGGAAGATTGCTTTCGGGGAGGTTTTGGTTCATCTGACGCGTCCCAACTGTTTCCAGCTTTCGTTCGCCACGGCGCCCCACAAAGCCTTGTAGAACGGCAATGGCTGGTGAACCCTTGGGTACCATTTTAGGTGAAAACACCTGCAAACATAGGACTAGAATGGTGAAACACATACACTGGCCGAACACATGTTCACTGACCGTTTGACCTAGAGCCTGGTGTTGAGCCCATGACTTGCCCTTTCTTTGGGGGGGGTCGGTCATCCCCCTTAGAGGGGCAAGAGCGTATTGAGCGGCCGAGCGGCCGAACGGAAAAACATGGTTTTTCACAGTTTGTTACAGTAAGTGCTTCTGGTTTCATTTCTAATTAATTTAGATTGATTTTAATTCTAATTCTATTGAATTATTGTTTCTAATAGCTTCTTGTTCCTAGTAGTAAGGCCCCCTAGTAGCGTCCTTGCTCCGTTCGTAGCGATGCCAGGAGCCCCTAGTAGCGTCCTTGTCCCCATCGCTAATAGGACTCTAATAGGTTGCTTGTCGTTGTGAACGCCGTGGGCACTGAGCCCCCGGACGGCCCAAGGTCGTGAGGCCCCGAGAGATGCGGAAGGGATCCATGGCGAAGAAACACGTGGCGCCGGAGAAGCTCGTGGTGAAGCCCGTGAAGCCGTGGTAGGAGGTACACCTCCTAGCTTCTTGTTACAGGTTATTTGCTCCTAGTAGAAATGCCCTTTGTTCCTAGTAGCGTTCTCGTTAGGAGGTACAGGTGATAAAAGCTGTGCCCATTGCGACAGTGCAAAATTATTATGTTGAGGAGAACAAATGTCCAACCAAACCCAAAAAGCAAACAAACAGGAAAAGAAAAATAAAGCACAAACATGAGAGCTCACACAGACAGCACACACATGAGAGCACATACATGAGAGCACAAGAACATGAGAGCATACACACTAGAGCACATATATCAGAACATCTGCACTTCGAGGTTCACAAAGGGTTGCAATGTTTTAATTCAAAGGTCGACAACAAAACAGGATTCGACCCATGAAACTCTTGTAGAACTCTTTGGCGAGACACTCTTGCTTGGCCTTCTCTCTTGTCACTCTTGTAGGACGCTCTGGTGCACAGCTACTGCGCGACTCTTGGCCACTCCTGTACCGACGCGCTTGACACTCGTGCGACACCCCCGTCTTCAGACTGTTTGAACCCGCTCTTCCAGGACACTCTTGTGGATGGTCTTGCTTGGCGCTCTTTTGCATGATCATGTTGTAACACAGTGCGAAGTGTCATTGGATTGCATACATCTCGTAGCTCCTCTCTACAGAGAGAGCTGGCTGACACGCCAATCCCAATGTCATGGCAACATCACCTGCCCTAAACTGATGCGTCAAGTCTCCAAAACGAGCATTTCGTGTGGGACTTCCCCACAAGTCAAACTGTGAACCCTCATAAACGACCGTTTCGTACAACACAAATGGTTGTGATAAACCGGAGCAATGTCACACGAACACAGCTCTACCCACAGACCTCCATTCGCGAACAAGACATAGTTGAAAGGCTTCCAGAAACATAAAATGTCTCTTGACATGCATCTACCATGATAGTCCCTAAGACAGCACTGACGGTAGTCTCTATGCGTTTCACAACTGCTTCATTCGGAACAGCGTTGAAAGTGGTTTAGGGGGCAACAAGAGAAGAACACCAAGTAAGCTTGGCACAAATCTCCAATTCGTGGCACTCATCCTGATGCTGTAGGTCCCTTCCCGAGTGGCCTTTGGTCTGACCTGGTGCAGGCACGTGCCATGGTAGTGCTCCTTCCGAAGTGCTTCTTCTAAGAAAACAGGTGTCTGCAGCGGTGCGGGGAACTGCCTCACTGTCGCTGGGTCCGCTCTCCTACTCTCCACTTGAGTCACCGCGGGACGGTGGCGAGTGACGTCGCGGCTCTCCGGCGCCCCATCTGACCGACGAGCGGAGGACAACAAGCAAAACCAACAAGGAAAACAACGCCATGTTCTAAACTGAAAAGAAACAAGAACCAAAAAATGAGAGACAAACTCCACAACCGAACATGTTTTGGGAGTGCTCAGCTCAAATAGTTGCGTTGGTAACTTGTACAGCGAGCTCCTGTCACAACCGTGTCAGGTTTCCTCAGGAAAGACACAAATTGAACATCCTATTTGGTCTCTCAAATGCTTCGGCACCTCGCCGCCGAAGGTTCTAGCTCAAAGCAACCTCCCTCTGGTTTGGATCTCCTCTTTGCTTCCAACCTGCTTTGGACACGTTTCAGCTTGAGGCGAAAAGACACATCTCACGTTTCGGCGGTCCGCAGCAGGCCTCTTTTTGGACAATACCGTATTGGGATCCTTTTTTCAGATCTTGAGCCACCAAGGGGGAGAAATTCGATATATCCGTTTGGACATGTCCAGGCAATGCCCTGTTCCATCAGTAGAGGTGAGAGTTGTTGTGCCCCCAACCCATGGATTTGGCCTTTCAAGCAACCCGACCCAGGGTCAAATTGTCTCACCTGCCTCGGCCGTGTGTTCATCCAGGCAGAAGATCAAGGTCCTCCGGAGAAGGACAGGAATGGAAGACATGTACGCTGACTGGATGGAACAAACAAAAGCCGTCTTGCTTGGCACCCTCCGCACAAAGAAAACAAACAGGAATGGGCATTTGCCGAGAAGCTGGCAGTCTTGCAGGCCATGCTATGCACCAAACCACCATGTTTGTTTAGATGTCATGAACGCCCCGAGAACCAGACTAAGTCTCGGGCGGCCAAAAGCACCGAGGCAGCATGATGCCATAGGGAGATATAGGCCGTACATGTTTTGTCCTTCTAAATGCTTTAGCTGATTCAGCATCTAGATTTACATTCGTCTTTGCAAAGAAGCCTACCTTGCCAAGTAAATCAGTAATCATGACAATGACAATGGTGACCATCACGTGATGATGATGATGATGATGATGATGATGATGATGATAAAGATGAATAGTACACAACAAATTAATGATCTTGAAGCTGTTGAAGTCTATGTTGTTTCAATTCTGAACTCTTCACCAAAAACGATTGGAAGGTGCTTTCACACGGAAGTGGAACACTGGTGCGAGCTTCGCCGAACGGTGGGGCCACGCCACGCCACGCCGTGCCAGGCAATCTGGACAGTCCGGACGCCTTCTGGAACTCGATCAAATGGGGAATTCATGATAAACAAAAGACGCGCAACTGTTAATGCCATGTCATATGCAAGGCGAACGTACCTTGTGTTTAAAAACACAGGATGTCTTTTTTCTTCGTGTTTGAGGCATATGCTGCAGCATGCAGAACCGGTTTGATCCTTGGTGTATCGGCTAACCCGGCCGGTTGGCCGACCCGGCCACAGTCCTCGCTTCGTGCCCAAAGGCTGCAGAGCGGCGAATCCAATTGGCCAAATACCTGGATGGCCGCCGATGTCGAAACGAAGACAGCAAGGAGATTCGTTACAAATGCCAAGAGGATACATTCTCACCTTGGAGGATGCTCCAGCCGCGATGTCGAAACGAGTTTCGTTTGGTTCTTCGGGGTTCAATGTTCAAAATGCCCGCAGCTTCCGTCTCACATGAATGGGGGGTTTCTGGTGGTGTAACAGTTGGGGCTCTGGTGGTCAAATGGTTTTAGACCTTACCCGATTGAAGTCGAATCCGACTGAGCTTCGTGAAGATGCCCGTGAGAGCGGCTCAAGGCCCTCCTCAGTGTCTGCTGCAGCCCGATGCGGCCCTGTACTCCCTCCACCCGGCCAATTTGCCCGTGCCTGGCATAGCGTTCCCCATAGACTAAGGTGAACATCACCACAGGTCTTCCTGGAGATCTTTGGCGAAGGGATTCGGTGCCTGAAGATCGTAGCATCTCCTTTCAATGAGAGCACCCCTCGACAAAGATGGACGAGGCCATTGGAAATACGCCAGCCCGGTGGAAAATACAAGGGCAACGGGCAACAACGGTTCATAACAACGACCTCAAGAAAAGCAACTCAAGCAACTCAGTTTCTATGATAATCCATTGTCCATCTATCCAGTGGCCATTGACCCTTTCCCACAGCGATTTTGACACGTCAATCAGGATGGACGTCCAACGAACCATCCAGGGGCAGAAGGCTGCACATCCACAGGTTTCTTCACACACCTTGCCCCAACGAGGAGGTGCATTGTCAGGGGAGTTTTTCCGCCCCAGGACCCTTGGCATCTGCGTGCGTCATCGCATGCCTGAGGAACCACCGAGAACCGCCGGGCTCGCCGACGGACGGGTTCGACGACTCGACCCTGCATCGCATGTCCGTTGCACATGTTTCTCCCTTACTGGGGGGTTGCTCCCTGGCACTCTCTTTCCGGCAATAAGGAACCACTTCCATGAAAACCAGAAACACCTGGCTGGTGAGGAAGCTCACGCTGAGTTTCCCTTCAAAGGGACGCCGGCGTGCGCTTAAGGGCGCCGCCCTGGCCTCCCACAAGGCCTGCTCGAGTCACAGACCTGGGAAGACACAGACTTTCGACCTGGGAAGACCAGCGAAGCTCCACCGTTCAGAGTGTGATATGGGCATCAACTTGAGGTGATGAAGGATTTCTTCCTGTTCGCTGATAGGTGATGCGTGAGATCATCTTGAGATCATACCACTTAGGAAGGACATTTTGTGACGTGACATGATGTAGATTCTGGCAAGCTCTTTTGCACCGACTTTTCATTCTCCAGCCAACATGCAACCTCGTCTGTCGTCCTACAAAGCCTACAAATGTAAAACAAACACAACGAACTCCTTCTTGCAACTTGGCCTCCACTCCACTAGTGCCCACTACCTCTCCCAAATGGTGGAAAAGGGATGCCTCCAAAGCCTGCCATGTCATGGAAAAACATGAGAGTCCAACTAACCAGAGCCGTGAGCAAATGTCAGAGTTCTGGTTGGATCGTTGGAAGTTGTCTTCGTGGTTTCGCTTCACATCCCGCCCTTCACATCGCCTTCGATTTCTCAGCTTGTCCGATGAGCTATTGGTGAGCCATCTAGTGATCCCCAAGTTCGTTTCACATCTATATCAGGTGTTGGACTTGGGTGTTGGACTATATCAGTTTGGACTTCCGACTTGTCGGTGTTGGACTTCGTTTCTCTGTTTCAAAGACCACATCCGAATCCTCACGATTTGTGTGCATGCCGACGCCAAACATTGCCACACCATAGCAATCAGTTATGGACAAAAGACAATAGCATGTCACAATGTTAATCATCTGACCAATCTGGGTCAGTTAAACCACATCCGAACTACGCGCACCCTTTCAATGATCATACCTTGCAAGGCCGATGCGTACCACACAAACCCCAAAACCAACCATCTTGACGCCTGTACCACACCATCAAACTTACTCTTCACCTTGGAATTCAGATGTTCGACTCCCTCTGCCACCGTCGTCCAGGCGGCATCTCCAGCGCCCGCAGCAGCTGCGCGTAGCTCTCGCTGCGCCCGAAGCCGCTGCGCCGTTGCCGGAGCGCCGCCACGGAGAAGCCATGCTGCGGGAAGCGAAGCGCTTCGTGTCGAAACGGTGCCGAAACCCATGGGGAAGGTTTCAGGATGATTCTTTGGGTGGGCGGTTTCCGTCTTTGAATGAAACTGAAACCCCTAGGAAGGCTTTGTGAGGGTTTCTTGTTAAATCCCACAACGACAGACATTTGACCCAGCCGCACATTCAGAACTGTTCCAAAACTATGCCCTACATTTGAGTAGTTGCACACATTCTTGGCTGATTGCCGTCAAACATGGGGAACTCCCCCACCACTAGGTTTGATGAACTTTTTCGTCTACGAGGTAGTTTCTGGTTGTCGATCGACCCGTTTGGCATGGTGAGAACTGGTGTGAGTTTGAAATAACCATTGTTTAGGACTTTAGACTAGAAGACCAGCTCTACCGGCCAGCTTCAAAAGGTAAAGGATACGAAGAACCTCTGCTAGAAGGCTGGCACGAGAAAACTCTGGAGATGTCTCCTTGATGGTGCCCAAGCTTGAAAAACTAGAGGTGTCTTTTTCGGCTCCCATCCTTCTTTAAATTGTTGACTGGCCAAAAGGTCTACACTGTCAACGCCACCAATCCCAACACCACCAACGACGCACGCTCGCCATCTCACAGTGCCACACTCTCGCGGGCGCGCGCGCGCGTGGCGCACCGGTAGCTGATGCCGCTCGTCAAAGGGATAGAGGAGCTCACTGGGATGGAAATCGAGCTCGTAAGGCTTATGCCTCGGGCGATCAACATGATGGAATGAGGGACACAGAAGAAAGCGGTTCTCTTCGTTTTTGGGACATTTGCTTCAGCAGTGAGCTTTAGACCGCTGGGTAGATGAGCAAGTGCTTATACTCCGTTGATGATTCATTACCTGCAATGCTACTTCCTGAGAATAGAACATACATTTGATTTTGCGCAAAGTTAGTTATTGCCATGATTCATGTAGCACCGGTAGACTGGCACTTGTGAACACAGGGGTTTGTTGCTCATGTTGTTTTGATAATTTAGTAGTGGTAATGATGCATCTGTAGAACTTTGTCAATCCATTGGTCAGTCAGGAGACCCTTGCCGTACTTTCTGTCCACTCCATCTTCTCTGAATGAAATATACTTCATGTGAGTCCGGTGACTGGTTGATGCTAGAGCTATGGACTGCAAAGAGTGACAATGGATCCTCAAACCAGAACCAATGAGTTAGACAGCTGCAGCGTGTGCGCCCATGGGGGGGATAGATGGGTTTCCCATAGCTTCTTTCATCGTAGTTCTTTGCTCCAAAATGTGACAGACTCATTTAGAGTTCGACACCGGCCGGACTGACAGCGCCAAGGCGCTGATATCTTGGTTGATCATCCACAAATCTCCTGTGCTTCGTTCGGGCTCCGCCATTTTCTTTGACTCCCAGGTCGTGACCTGGGTACCTTCAATGATGATTCAAAGGGGTCAAACAAAATGGGGACCTTCAAGATTTGCATCAAACCAGCCTTAACACATGCATCTTTACCACCAGTCTACCACCGAGTCCCGAAATTTGAAGTGATGCCTGGGATGTCCGTGAGCCACAAGATTCTATAGCTACTATGCACAGAGTGAGTGAGTGAGTGAGTGAGTGAGCGAGGGAGTGAGTGAGTGAGTGAGTGAGTGAGTGACACGACCCACTTCCAACTCTTGGATACCCATTCGCCCACGCCTGGCTTGTACCATGAGGCCGGTGCTGAAGAAGAAGCGGTTCTGGGACCGGTGGAGGGAGGGACGACGTAGGAACCGGCAAAGGTTGGAACTGTGCCTCCATGAAGCCAAAAACACTGGCGAAGTGGGTCCACAACATGAGGAAGACCATCTGTAAAGGAAAACAACAAAGGCCCCCAGACTTGATCAACCGATCCCATAGTTGTTTGGGGTGTGAGAGAGCAGCTTGGGCAATTCAATGTGAGAAGACTGCCAAGGGAACAGGAGATCAAGAAGCGAGAACAAGTAGACCGAACCCAAATTCTTGAGAGGCATCCATGATTTGTTGATGGGCGAAGCTTGAAGGTCTTCAGCCGAAAAGCTTCCGGAACCATTTCCGGAGGTTCAGCTTTCGGAGGTTCTGGTGTAAGTTGAGCCAGTTCGCGGATTCGGACTTCGCTTTTTGACATGGTGAGGTGTTGCCACGTGTTATCACGCTGACATGTTTGCATGGCACGCTGGAGTGGGTCATGCTGACATGTTGTCAGGCTGAGATGCTGAAGCCGGGTCATGCTGTCGCGCGCGATTACTTGCCGCCGCCGAAAAAGCACTGGCTCTCACTCTTGAATACCCTCCACGCAGCATAGGTTGGAACAACTGTGATAAGATACAATCGTCAGTCGTGTTCCAGACTCCAGTCACCAAGAAATAACAAATACACAATATGCCCAACACAAAATTGCCAAACAACGAACGCCTCCACTCCTAGACACAAAACTGCACAGGGACCCTTCTTCACAATGACTTCTCAAAAACTCTAATCACTATTCAGTGAAGCCCCAAAAACACGAAATCGCAACGACCTTAGCACTTGGGAGTACGATCTCATACACCTGACACCCCCCCGCTCCATTTGGGTCGAAACCTCTCGGTGCGCCAAGCTGCAATGGGCCACCGAGTCTTCAACAGCGCGTGTAGGACCCAGTTAATACCCTTGTCCTGGGCGACGGAAGAAGGCCACAGCCGTTTGTGACAACGAGTCTCGTGGCTCGGTTTTGTTGGGGGTTGGAAATGACAAAGCATTGAGATGTCTTGAGATGCACTCTCTCTGAAACAATCATGGAAGCGGAAAGCCACTGGTTTGTGGACGAAAACAGACTTCCAAGAGGCCATGTTCCACTTCCATGTTTGTTGGAGGGAGGCTAGTTTTTTTCGTCCCAGGCACACGGGTGAACCACATCTTCTTGGTTTACCCACAGGTGTTCCACTGCATTCTCCTTCCCCATGAGGCGACACAGTCGATCCGATCCGTCGAGTAGAGTCGACGAGTCTCTTGCTCGATGAGAAAGAAGGACTTCTCCAGCATCGCCGCGCTGAAGGCTGCCTACGAGGTCTGAAGGCTGCAGGTCTGAAGGCCCCACAAATTCAGTGATCCAATGTGATCCAATGTGATCCAATGTCAAATCCAGTGGTTCCAGGACCAGAACTGCAAGAAAATAAGAAGCAGAAACACTGTTTCCCTCGCTTCAGTACGTTGTCAAACATGCCAACGGGTGAAGACATGCACGACTTCATGTACAGGCCGAGGCTTTCAACGACCAACGAGGCTTTCAGACTCCTCATAAAAACCGCTCTCTCCTGGAGCCTTTTGTGCTTGGGGTTTTGAGCGGGTTGTTGGATGGAGAATCACCCAGTTTGCAGCAAACATCAGCCAGTTAGCGATGTGTTGGCAAACAGCTTTTCGACAGGGAGACTAAGCTTTTGGTCCCATCCGGTTTAAATGGCTTTTGGTTCCAACTTTGTCGTGCTTTGATCGACACTTAGTGCACGCTGCGCAAGGGGGCCAAAAGAATCGCCACGCCACGCTGCGAAAAAAATATAGTGCTTCCCCAAATAGATAGTCGCACGGTTTCCAATACATTGTAAGTGGAGATCTACTTTTCTATCTATTTTGGGTCTAGTCTATATATATATATATATATTATATATTACCCACTCATCGGACGAATCACAGGCGCCGATGGCATACGGGATTCTCTGATCCCTATATGCGCTTGAGACCCCAATGCATTGACCGGGCCAAAAAAGGAGCACTCTACGTTAAAAAGGGAACTCGCCATGACTCAATTGTGCGGCCAGGGCCAGAAGAAAGTGTACACGCAAGATCACGATCCTCAAGAAAGGGCATGGCGTCCATGATAGCGCTTTGCGGTAGGACGCGCCCACAACTCTTCACATAAGTCGCCGAAAAAGTGCCGAGACATGGCTGTGCTGCAGAGTCTTTCAAGAGGTATTGAATACCAAGTCGTATGCGGCACACCACTTCATGAATTGTCATGCAAATGTCCTCATGCTGGAAACGAAACCCGCAGGAATGAAAGGCTACTGCGAGTTCGCAGAAGGCGATAGCTGAACCTGGACTGTTGCACCATCGAAGCTGCCGCAGAAAATCGCACGTTGTATGCCAATCCTCTGTTCCATATTTCCACAACTTAGGAGGTGAGCCGCGGAACGGGATCTTCGGCTTCCACGTGTAGTGAGAACGGCAAGCTTGCCATGGCCACTGCGGATACAACAACTTAGCCTGCTCAAGCGAGATGGTGTCCTTCACAACAGGCCTGACATCATCACAAGGATTGCCATCAACCTGCTGGTCGGACAGATGGCAATGTAATTTCACAAGCCATTCCTGGTGGAGCCCCGCTGCAGCAGTCATAGCAGGTAGAACCTTAGGATAGATAGGGCAGATAGACTTAGCAATCTTCTTGGCAGCAAGGTCAGCATCTCGGTTCCTAAGAACATGCTGCACCGTTGTTCCGGCTGCTTGCAAAGCACAAGGATCCAAGAGGTGCGCTGGAATGTTCTCGCAGACGTGCGCGGGAATCCACTCAACGACAAGAGGGAGGGGATGATGTCTCATTCTATCTCTGAGCACTGAAGCAAAGATAACCCACCATTCAGGGCACCTCCAGTGCCTCTTAACTGTCTTGTTGTGGAGCAGGAAAGTGCAATTGTCAACAACCGCTTTGTTATCACAGGAAATATGGACAGGGGAGATCCATCCCAAAGTTCAGCAGCATAGCTTGAGATGGCCCAACGCCGAACTCTGCCAGACCAAATAGTGCTACCATGCTGATCAACAACTGCGAAGGCAGCGGTGGTTGTCCAATAGCACTCTTTCGCAACAACTGACCCATCCGTCCAGAAAAAAGTGCACGGCTGTTCGGGATAGAAAGTTACAGCATCCTCGAGGCTCGGCAAATCAAAGTTCAAACGAAACTGGGAAAGCCGAAAAGGATGCTCCACAATTCCAAGCAGTGCAAAATTCTCTCCAAGCTCATGTAGACAGGGTTTACCTGCCAGTTCATGGTACGCCGCACATGAGTGCACAATGTGATGGAGACTTAGTGCTGTCACAGAAACGACAGTTGGGTGAACTGACAAGACCGGCAGCATGGAGCCTATCCCTAGTGAGTGTGCATCCAACAATCACGGATTCAAAATGAACCTCAGCAGGAGGGAAACAAGGCGTTTTGAAGGTGGGTTTTCGGAGAAACACGGTGGAAGCAGTGACATCAATAAGTCCCTTCGGTCTAAAGAAGTCCTTGCGTGCATGCAGGGCAGCATTCTCATAAGCACATTGAGCAGCAATTTGTTTCAACCCTTGCATGAAATCGAATGGACAAATCGAACCGATAGCGAGAGGTTGCGAATCGTGGAACCGAATGCGAAGTTGAGAATCAACCTTCAAGCTAAAAATCTGGCAGGATTCATCGAAACGAGCAACAAGCGAGTTATTAAACTGGTGTCTGCTAGGCCAAAGTGCCCTAAGTTTGGTAACAGCATCAGGTTGATCATAACAAAACCTAATAACATCCATGATACTGCAGAAGGCTTGTGCAAGGACTGGGTCCGTTCGATGGGGCTGTCCATGGAAGAGCTGAACCAGCCACTTGGCACGTGCAAGAGGGCGATTCCTCCACAGTGCTTTGACGACGGCACCTTGGATTTTCTGCAGGGATGCTTTGGGAATTTTTGAAATGTGACTCGCATATGTGATTGCCGGAATGGCCTTAGCACCAATAAGATGAGATTTAATCTTAGTGGGGATGGGAAGGGCTCCAATGCAATCAATAGTGTTACAGACTTTACGACGGGTTTTTTCAGGGAAGCCAAAGTGCTCTTTTTCGGTTGTGTAGATGCGGGTTCCAAGAGCATCAAACGTCTGTTCAAGCTTCATGGTAGGAATGGCAGCTTTGATTGCTTTGCGAGCGGGTGTGGTTGTACCACAAATGGTGGATTTGCCATCATTAAGCTTCTGGCCATTAAGGGAGTCCCACAACTTAGTGATTTCGATCGCTTTAGTGAGCATATCAATGTGGATGAGGTGACACCAGAGATATGCGTCGTCTATGTACGCCTTGACGGCAATCTCGGGCAGGTATTCGAGTAAATGAATCCACACTTTTGTATGCACATTGATCGCGATTATCCCTGTGCAACACCGTTAGAGGCTGTGGTGGGTGACGTGTTCATCCAGCCTTTATAGCACAAATGTCTATGGATCCCTTTATAAAGTTTGGTGAACAGAGTGACAAAACCAATCGGTAATCCAAAGGCCAAGAACAACGCAGCAGTGTACTGCGGGAGGATTCGGTCAAAGCATTTAGCTTTATTGAGCTTAACCCCCACGAGTCCTTGCTTCTGTTGCTTGGCCGTGTCGATACCAAGCCGAAGTGTCGTGTGGAGCAACGGCATGGTTCTGCCTTTGATGCCTCCAATGATGGCAGGAGGCATGGTTTGCTGCTGCCATTCCTGGAGCGGCTCATAGCGCGCACCAGTGTAGCTCAGGATGAGCGCGGGCAAAATGGCTATCAGGCGCTTATTCATGGCTTCGGATGGGCCAGGCTTGTTGAGTATGACTTGTTTGGTGCATGAAAGCATACGGGGTAAGTCAATCTCGGGCGTGGTTTCAGCCCATCGAAAAGATTTTGCAATCGGTTCAAAGGCATGAAGCGGAAGAGCCTGAAGCTCGTGAGTCCTCCATCCATCAAGACCGGGGGCAGCATGTTTCTTGCGTCTCTGAATAACACGGTATAGCGCTTGGGCATCGATGGGTGGGAGAACAGCATCATGCGTGTGATGTTGAATATACGGCCAGACAGTCTCTGACATTTTCAGGGGATGCTCATGGAGGGTGTTAACACCATAAACAGGGTCCCATTTGTCGTTAAGACATTGTAGGGCTGATAGATTATATTGCCCTGATCATCTTGAACAATATTAGGTGGTTCATCAAGGAGCCTATTTTTGAGATGCTGAAAGATGTAAGTACATCCGGCTTTGGCAGACTGCTTGACACGATCCTTCCACTGCTTGATTCTAGCATTCTTAGTGGTAGTGGTGGTGACACCGGAGATCCACATCTTGGCACTTTGAATATGAGTCAAGGACAAATCGTGAAAGTCGGGCCACGCCACAGGTGCGCGTAGCTCCTGGAGAGCTCGAGTAACTTTGAGAAAAGTCCTGTGAAACACAAAAGAGTCCTGGTCAGATCGTAGGCCCCTTGTTCTACGAATGAACAGTTCATCAATGCGGGCTTGCAACTTGAACAGAATGCTGCTTCGGCGTGTGGCTGCACAATGGTTAGCATGTTGGACCGGGCAGATTTGCTTGGCCACGACACGGGGTGGTGCGGCACGCTCACGCGGCCCTTGGCCCCATTTACCCCCACACTGCAAAAGGGTTTGCGCACAGAAATCGTTTACCAAAGTCCACCTCAAATCTGGATCTTGGGTCTGCTGAAACTTAGTTTCCCAAGTGTGGTCCCAAGGAGAAGAAGTTGTGGCAGTCGTAGGGTCAGAGTTAGTGGTGGAACCGGTGTGCGGTGAGTGTGAAATCTCGGAAACATCAATGGGTGCCGTTTTAAATTGAACATACCCGAACTGCGCCAGGACCTGCCAATGGAACTGACACTTGATGGGACGATGTTGCCGGCCAACCGTTTCGACAACTTCACAGTGCTGAAGAGCGAAGAAGGCAGGTTGGTTAAGTAAGATCATGTCAATTGAAGAACACCCATCACCTTCCCCCGAAAAGGCAGAGTCACGCGAGTAGGTGTTAGGCCGAGAGATCTGACCATCGAGTTCAACCTGGTTTAGTGGATCGTTCCAACCCAAGTTTTGAACCGCATTTGCAATCGAGGGATAAGACAGAGGGAAAGCTTGAACATCACCCCGTGATGATAACAGGGATGGCCCCAAACTGCGAGACCAGGGTGAAGATATCGGCAAACAGGGCATCGTTATTGTTATGGATGGACTGGTCCTGTGAAGCCCCGGTGATGGCATAAACGGTGCAAATCAACACTTTGCGATGCTGGGA